ATTTATCAAATCATTCCAATGATTGCTAAGATAGAATCCATCTTCTCGGTTGAAATTGTCTCTGTGCTTGTATATGTGGATAGCCTCATGAACGAATCTCTCATGGAAGCCAGATGGCTTACAAAGAACCTCCGTCTTGGAAAAGTCAATGGCATGTGAGCCTACTGAATTCGAACAATGATCTGCTACGGCCGAGGTGTTGGTCCTACCGTGTTTAAGGTCTGCTTTATGTTCACGAATGCGGTCCGAGATATGGCGTTTGGTTTCTCCAATGTAACTACTACCACAGAGGCAACTTAGTTTGTAGACACCAGGGTATTGTATGTCCGGAATCACATCTTTTACAGACGGAACCAGATCACGGATTTTATGTAATGTGTTGAAACGGACCTGGATCTTGTGTTTATTCAAGATTTTGGAGATCTTTTTTGTGATCCCAGCAATGTAGGGTAAAGTGATGGTTTTGAAAGGCTCCTCAAGAGGGTTCTTCTTCATGGTTTGAGTGATAGCTTTGCGGATTGTATAGTCGGAGTAACCATTAGCCCTAAGAGCTTGGTGTAAGTGCTTGGGTTCACTGCTTATGTGTTCCTGGTCGGATATGCATTGGGCTCTATGATACAGAGTCTTGATGAGAGAATTCTTCTGTGATGGATGGTGGTGGGAATCCGGTTTCAGATAAGCATCCGTATGGGTAGCTTTCCTGTAGACAGAGTGGCTCATTGAACCATCAGGTCTCTTTTTAATTAGGACATCCAAAAAAGGTATCTTGCCATCTATTTCGACTTCCATGGTAAATCTGATGGCTGGGTGTATGGAATTGATGTGGTCGAAGAATTGGTCTAGAGCAGGCCGGCCATGTGGCCAGATGACAAAAGTGTCATCCACGTACCTCTTCCATAAGGTTGGGCGCAGAGTGGCAGTCTGGATGGCGTCAGTCTCAAATTTCTCCATGAAAATGTTAGCTATAACTGGAGAAAGGGGGGAGCCCATTGGGGTGCCCTCAGTTTGTTTGTAGAAAGTTCCATTCCAAGTGAAGTATGTATTGGTTAAACAGTGTCTCACCAGGGGGGGTACCTCAGTGTTTAGTCCTTGATGAACCAAGTCTTCAATGATTGCAATGGTGTCAGGTACAGGAACCTTGGTGAATAAGGAAACTACATCAAAACTGACAAGCAGGTCGTCTGGGGACAGGGAAATACCCTTGATTGTTGATACCAGGTGAGTAGAATTTTGTACCGCAGAGGTGGTCTTTCCAGTGAAAGGACGCAGGATTTCAGACAAAAAACGAGCTAGTTTGTAGGTGGGGGAGCTGATAGTAGAGACTATGGGACGAAGAGGTGTATCAACTTTATGTATTTTTGGTAAGCCGTATAATCTTGGTGGCCTGGCAGCAGAAGGTTTCAACGAAAACTGTTTAGATTGATCAATTAATGCGGTTGAATCAGAAATTATTTTGTTGGTTTGTGTGACGAGGCTGTTGGTGGGATCTCTTTTTATTTTTGTATAACTACCATCGTCGAGTAATTCTTTAATTTTGTTGTTGTATTCTATTTTATCCATGATGACAGTAGCATTGCCTTTGTCAGCTGAGAGAACTACAATATCATTCCTCTTTTTTAATTTATATAATTCAAAACGCTCATCTTTGCTGAGGTTGCTAGCTGGCATCTTAGCGTTTTTGAGGGTTGCAGCGATTTCAGATCTTGCTACGTCTGCAGCGATGTGACCCAGGCCCCTGAGAGCAACGTCTACTTGGGCAATTATATCATTAACTGGTATGTGTTTAGGTGTGACTGCAAAGTTTAGACCTTTAGCTAAAACGGATTTCAGACCATCGGAAATAGAACTGTTACTGCGATTAATTACGATTCAACCGCATTAATTGATCAATCTAAACAGTTTTCGTTGAAACCTTCTGCTGCCAGGCCACCAAGATTATACGGCTTACCAAAAATACATAAAGTTGATACACCTCTTCGTCCCATAGTCTCTACTATCAGCTCCCCCACCTACAAACTAGCTCGTTTTTTGTCTGAAATCCTGCGTCCTTTCACTGGAAAGACCACCTCTGCGGTACAAAATTCTACTCACCTGGTATCAACAATCAAGGGTATTTCCCTGTCCCCAGACGACCTGCTTGTCAGTTTTGATGTAGTTTCCTTATTCACCAAGGTTCCTGTACCTGACACCATTGCAATCATTGAAGACTTGGTTCATCAAGGACTAAACACTGAGGTACCCCCCCTGGTGAGACACTGTTTAACCAATACACACTTCACTTGGAATGGAACTTTCTACAAACAAACTGAGGGCACCCCAATGGGCTCCCCCCTTTCTCCAGTTATAGCTAACATTTTCATGGAGAAATTTGAGACTGACGCCATCCAGACTGCCACTCTGCGCCCAACCTTATGGAAGAGGTACGTGGATGACACTTTTGTCATCTGGCCACATGGCCGGCCTGCTCTAGACCAATTCTTCGACCACATCAATTCCATACACCCAGCCATCAGATTTACCATGGAAGTCGAAATAGATGGCAAGATACCTTTTTTGGATGTCCTAATTAAAAAGAGACCTGATGGTTCAATGAGCCACTCTGTCTACAGGAAAGCTACCCATACGGATGCTTATCTGAAACCGGATTCCCACCACCATCCATCACAGAAGAATTCTCTCATCAAGACTCTGTATCATAGAGCCCAATGCATATCCGACCAGGAACACATAAGCAGTGAACTCAAGCACTTACACCAAGCTCTTAGGGCTAATGGTTACTCCGACTATACAATCCGCAAAGCTATCACTCAAACCATGAAGAAGAACCCTCTTGAGGAGCCTTTCAAAACCATCACTTTACCCTACATTGCTGGGATCACAAAAAAGATCTCCAAAATCTTGAATAAACACAAGATCCAGGTCCGTTTCAACACATTACATAAAATCCGTGATCTGGTTCCGTCTGTAAAAGATGTGATTCCGGACATACAATACCCTGGTGTCTACAAACTAAGTTGCCTCTGTGGTAGTAGTTACATTGGAGAAACCAAACGCCATATCTCGGACCGCATTCGTGAACATAAAGCAGACCTTAAACACGGTAGGACCAACACCTCGGCCGTAGCAGATCATTGTTCTAATTCAGTAGGCTCACATGCCATTGACTTTTCCAAGACGGAGGTTCTTTGTAAGCCATCTGGCTTCCATGAGAGATTCGTTCATGAGGCTATCCACATATACAAGCACAGAGACAATTTCAACCGAGAAGATGGATTCTATCTTAGCAATCATTGGAATGATTTGATAAATAATTTCAGTTCTTGATTGATTGTTCACGCTTACAGTGGCTTTCAGACAGCATACATTAAAAAAAAATTTCGTCTCCCTCCTCCTCTTTTCAAAAAATAGATGGACTAGTCCTGGCAAACAGCCAATCGCTGCGCGTGACGCAAACGGTTTTTTAAATAAATAAATAAATATGCCGTTTTAAAAATAAATTTATGCAAACCGACACACCTGATGATGACCGTTTGAGTTATGGTCGAAACGTCGTGAGAATTTTTTATTGTTTTATATATATTTTGTTATTTTGTTGTTTCTCTTCAACGTGACTTTACCGAAAAAACTAAGAATAATAATAAATAAATACACACCGCCACTTCTTTCAAATGTTTGCTGCCGTTGGTTTTCACACCCGATGATGACTGCTTGTGTTGCAGTCGAAAATTTTATTGTTTTATATATATATTATTATTTTATTGTTTCCCTTCAGCATAATCTTGTTTGAAGGCAACCAACCGCCATATTCGGCAGGAAAGACGCCCAACCGCCATTTTAGGCAGTGAAGACTCCTGGTCGCCATTTTAGGTAGGGACGCTGCCCACCCGCCATCTTAGGTAGGGAAGCGCGCCAACATAAGTCGCCCACTTCTAGGGGGAGCTCTCTGGGCAATCGGCACTCCCAAACATTCTGCACAAGTGCCACAACGGCCGCCTTTGGCTGATGGGGGTGCTCAATAAGGGGCCGTCCATAAATGACGTCACGCACCTAGAAGGGGGGGGGTGGGGAGGGGTCAGAGATTTGTGACGATGTGTGACGAGGGAGGGGGCGGGGTTTGAGAAATGTGACGTCACATCAAAACTTTCAACAAATACAGACGACACTTTCTACTTAATTAAAAAGACTTTTTAATAAACGTTTTCTCCTACAACATCGGAGTGCAGCGCCACGTTAAACACGCACTACAGTGACAATAATTTTAAGCGATTTGAAGCATGTTTTATTTTCAAAATGGAAATATGTTTTTTTTTGGGGAGGGTGGGAGTGTGTGGGGGGGGGGGCAGAGCTTTGTGACGTCATATTTGAGGGGGGGGTGTTAAAAATCGTCAAAAATCGCGTGACGTCATTTATGGACGGCCCCAAAGAGATAAAAAAAAGTATTACACACGGAACTTTTATTTCCGATGTCAAGAAGAAGTCGACGTGACGGGGAGTAAGGGAATAATCGAGGCGACTTTGTTTGGTGCCGTTGCGGTTTGGGGAAGGCGAGGGGGTGGACAGGCGCCTGCAAACCAGGCGAGGGTTGGTGGATCACCGCAGGCACAGGCAGATGCCGGGAAATGGCGACAGAGGCCCGGGGCCCCACCTGTTCCCGCCTCCACGGGGCGAGGCGATTCCCCCGTCGCATCGCCGAACGTTGCACCGCGGACTCGGCTCGCGTGCAGGGCGCGAAAGGAGATTCGACGTAGCATGGGGGACCGGCAGACTTACACAGGCACTCGCCCACAGACTCGCAACGGACACCCGCAGACTCACAATGGACACCCGCAGACTCACAACGGACACCCACAGACTCACAATGGACACCCACAGACTTACACAGCCACTCGCCCACAGACTCACAACGGACACCCGCAGACTCACAATGGACACCCACAGACTCACAATGGACACCCGCAGACTCACAACGGACACCCGCAGACTCACAACGGACACCCACAGACTCACAACGGACACCCACAGACTCACAATGGACACCCACAGACTCACAACGGATACCCACAGACTCACAATGGACACCCGCAGACTCACAACAGACACCCACAGACTCGCAACGGACACCCACAGACTCACAATGGACACCCACAGACTTACACAGGCACTCGCCCACAGACTCACAACGGACACCCACAGACTCGCAATGGACACCCGCAGACTCACAATGGACACCCACAGACTCACAACGGATACCCACAGACTCGCAACGGACACCCACAGACTCACAACGGACACAAGCAGACTCACAACGGACACCCACAGACTCGCAACAGACACAAGCAGACTCACAACGGACGCCGGAAGACTCACAACGGACACCCACAGACTCGCAACAGACACAAGCAGACTCACAACGGACGCCGGAAGACTCACAACAGACACCCACAGACTCACAACAGACACCCACAGACTCACAACGGACACCCACAGACTCACAACGGACGCCGGAAGACTCACAACATACGCCTACAGACTCACAAAGAGACCCATTAACGTGGAAAGGGACCAATCTATTTGGAAAGGGACAAAGGGAAGGCGCCCAACCGCCATCTTGCATAGGGAAGGCACCTAACCGCCATCTTACGTGGGGAAGGCATCCAATCGCCATCCCACCCTACCTGCCCATTATAAATCCACTCCACCTGTCCATTATGAACCCACTCTACGTGCACATTATAAACCAACCCTACCTGCCCATTATAAACCCACTCTACCTGCCCATTATAAATCCACCCTACCTGTCCATTATAAACCCACCCTACCTGCCCATTATAAACCCCAGTGACACGGCCAAGATGAACCCACCCTACCTGCCCATTATAAACCCCAGTGACACGGCCAAGATGAACCCACCCTACCTGCCCATTATAAACCCACCCTACCTGTCCATTATAAACCCACCCTACCTGTCCATTATAAACCCACCCTACCTGCCCATTATAAACCCCAGTGACACGGCCAAGATGAACCCAGACCCCACACGTCACTGACAATCGACGGCACCAAACCCCACAAAATCAACGTCCGCAAGGTCATCTCACGTCCCGGTGACTTTATGCACAATAACAACGCTCTTAGAAAAACACAACATTCTTACAATAATTATAATATTTACAATAAAAACATTCAAAACTACGATATTATGTACAGAGCTATATATGATTAAATTATAACTTTTTTTCTTAACAAACTTCACGTGGCAGGGCCTAGGCACGCTTCTCGTCCAGTGCCTGCACCAGGCCTCCCTTCCCCCTCCCCATGTCCTGGAAACCGTGTGGCGAGGTCACTCCCTCCCTCATCCTCCTCCTTTGAGGACTGCCACCGGATGAAAACCAGCATGGGTTGGAGTCCCGGGGTAAGGGAGCCCTGGGTAGGCTACTGGGCTGAGTGTGTGGTGAGCGTGTGGTGGGCTGAGTGTGTGGTGAGTGCAGTCAGAGTGGCTGTGTCCAGTCCATGTCTGGGTTTCCACTCTTTCGTCTTCTGCCACAGCTATTTCCCACGGGAGTGTGTGGGGTGAGTGTGTGTGTGGTGCGTGTGTGTGGTGAATATGTGTGTGGTGAGTATGTGTGTGGGATCAGTGTGTGTGTGGTGTCTGGTGCGGAGAGTGTGGTGTGAGTGTTTGTGTGTGGGGTGAGTGTGTGTGTGGGGTGAGTGTGTGTGTGGGGTGAGTGTGTATGTAGGGTAAGTGTGTGTGTGGGATCATTGTGTGTGATGTGTGGCTGGGTGTGTGTGTGGTGCGTGGTGCGGTGTGGGTGGGGTGAGTGTATGTGTGGTGAGTGTGTGTGTGGTGAGTGTGTGTGTGGCGAGTGTATGGTGCGTGTATGTATGTGGTGTGTGGGGTGAGTGTGGGGCTTGTGTGGTGTGTGGCTGGGTGTGTGTGAGTGTCTGGTGTGGTGTGAGTGTGGTGAGTGTGTGTGTGGGGTGAGTGTGTGTGGGATGAGTGTGTGTGTGTGGGGTGAGTGTGTGTGTGTGGGCTGGGTGTGTGTGGCTGGGTGTGTGTGCTCGCTAACAGCACTTGCCCCTACAGTCTGTTAAGGCTATATGGGGGATCTTTGTCTTTGTTTTTGTGGTGAGTGTGGTGTTATGGGGTGGGTGGGTGGTGCTTGCGGTGGTGGTGCTGCTCGTGGTGGTGGATGGCACCGACTCCACCACCACCACCACGCAGCTACTCTGCCGTGGGCCGTCCACCACACAGCAGCAGGCGGCCGAAGAGCGACCGGAGCGCCCTGCCCAGTTGGGCCAAGCCCCCTCGCTTCCTCTTCTTCTTCTTCTCCTCTTCCTCCTCCTCCTCCTCCTTCTTCTGCTGTTGCCACATCTCCACCTCCTCCATCTTCTCCATCTTCTCCTTGTTCTCTTCTGTCTCCTCCTCCAACTCCTTCGTCTCGACCTCTTGCACCACGGCCACCACCACCACCTCCTTCTCCTTCTCCTCCATCTTCTCCTCCTCCTTCTCCTCCACCTCCTCCTTCTCCTCCATCTTCTCCTCCTCCTTCTCCTCCACCTCCTCCTTCTCCTCCATCTTCTCCTCCTCCTTCTCCTCCATCTTCTCCTCCTTCTCCTCCATCTTCTCTTCATCCTTCTCCTCCTCCTTCTCCTCCGATGAGGAGGAGGATGATGATGATGATGGAAGCCTCTTCTCCGGCTGAGCTCTGTGGAGAGAGAGGCAGCAGCACCACAGCACCACCACGTCAGCATCCCGCGACTACGGCCAGAGGTCACAGTCGGTCCCCACCCCCAGGAGTGGACTTGCCCATCACGAGTTTCTACAGACTCATAGACACCCACAGAGATTCACAGAGACCCATACTCATAGAGACCCATACTCATAGAGACCCATACTCATAGACACCCACAGAGATTCACAGAGACGCATACTCATAGAGACCCATACTCACAGAGACCATACTCAGTAGAGACCCGCAGAGACCCATACTCATAGAGACCCATACTCATAGAGACCGATACTCATAGAGACCCACAGAGACCCATACTCATAGAGACCCACAGACACCCATACTCATAGAGACCCATACTCATAGAGACCCATACTCATAGAGACCCATACACACAGAGAGAGCCTCACCGTGGCTTCACAGCTCTGGGGAGGGCCCGGCTGGTGGTGGGGAGGGCCCGGCTGGTGGTGGGGAGGGCCCGGCTGGTGGTGGGGAGGGCCCGGCTGGTGGTGGGGAGGGCCCGGCTGGTGGTGGGGAGGGCCCGGCTGGTGGTGGGGAGGTCGTCGCTGGGGCTGGCGGTGTCGTCGCTCTGGAGCCAGCCGTGAGCCAGCGCCTGCTCCGGTGTCATGCGGCGTTCTGGATCCCAGCTAGGGTGAGGGGGGGCACGGAGGGGGATAAGGGGGGGGGCACAGAGGGGGGTGAGGGGTGGTGGTCGTGGGTTGCTGAGGAGATGGAGTCTGCCTCAATGGCTTGCGATCACAAATCTCTATTTAACTACATCAAAAAAAGTAACCTGCATCGCCACACATATTACCATCGTTAGGGTAAACAACGGTGATCCAATCTCCGACCCCCAGGAACGGGTTTGCAGATTTGCTGAGCATTTCTGTGAGGTCCTGGGGAAGGGGGAATCCCTCAGCCTGGCAAAACGTGGGACAAAGTGGGGTTGACCCTGCTGAGGCTGTGGTGCCTCAAATATTGGAGGAGGTTGTCACCCCCTGTGAGTGGCTGGCTGAGGTGTCATCTGTTGAGGAAGTACTGAAGGCGATCCAGAGTCTGAGACCAGGAAAGGCACCGGGCAGAGGTGATCTCCCAAGCAAAATGCTGAGGGAGGGTGGCGTTT